ATGTACAGCAGAGAGCAGTGTGAAGATTGCTTCGCTGCAGCCTCTACCAGCCCTGAAGCCAAATTGAGATTGTGGGAGTTTGCAATTCTCCTCAGCCCATTTTTCCAGCCTCTCTTTCAGGATATAAGTGAAAATCTTAGTTATGTGGTTAACGAGGGCGATACCGCGATAGTTATTAGGATCAGCTTGGTCACCTTTTTTAAACACCATGGACAAGAGGACATCCGCCCAAGCCTCTGGACATGACTCAGTCACCAAAACACGATTGAAAAGGTCTACGAGGACTATCTTTCCGGAGAGAGGGAGAGAAACATAAAATTCATTGGAGATGAGATCAGGTCCAGTTGCTTTGTTGGATTTTAACTTTTTAAGAATCCAGTCAAGTTCCGTCATCGAGATTTGTTTTTCTAGAGCGGGTACAGAATTGGTGGTAGGGATAAAAAGGGGGAGGTCTCTTTGTGGGTAGATGTTACTATAGAAGTTATTCCAATTATCCATTGAGACTTTACAAAAATAATTTCTTTGAGGTTTCAACTTTTTTAACGTCATCCAAAATTTTTTGGAGTCTTTTGAATTATTTAGGGCAGATGTTAATTTATTTTTAAATTCTTTTTTCTTAATATGAATGAGAGCCTTATATTCCCTGCGAGCTTGGTGAAAGGCATTTCGAGAAACAAGGCAATATCTGTTACATTTAAAGGAGCTTCGCAACTTCAGATTTTTCTTCGCAACTTCAGATTTTTTATGCTTGATAAGTGGGTCTTTAGCCCAGGGGTGCTTTGAGTCGCTATGTTGAGGCTTGGAGGATCTGTACAGAGACTGCAAGAGGCCAGCTTGAGACGCAGCACTGACCATTGAGTTCTGCAGTAGGCTATTCAGTCTATCTGGGAAGACAGTAGGAGCATAGGAGAGGGTGCAGAGGTCAGAAGCAATGGATTGAGTAAATATTTCAGTGGCTTCAGAATTATGAGGGGCCCACTTGGGTTTGGTGAGGGTGTTACTGGGGGGAGGGACACCGGTAGAGGGAAGGGGCGAGGTAGGTAAGGGAGAGGGAGTATCTGCAGAGGGATTGTGGTCCAGGTTGGGGTCAGAGAGGGTGAGAGTTACAGGAAATTGTCAGAGAAGGGCATGGACAGGTCAACTGAGAGGTCCGCAACGTAGTGTAGGTGAGATGCCTTTACAAATATCAGGTCGACCACACTGGCTCCATTGTGGTTCAAAAACGTCCAGCTGGTAGGTCTGTCGCCCTTCACGCTCCCGTTTAATAGTATAAAACCATTCTTGGACATGAAATCCATGAGAATAGGACCACGATGGTTGACAAATTCATCAGAGTTAACGATGTCTGGGTAACATACCGAATCAGTTAAAACGTCAGGTGGAAGGGGGTCAAAGCCACCAACTCTGGAGTTAAAATCACCACCAAGGGTAACTAAATCGTTCCCATAAGCCAGCTCAATATGGTCCAAGAGCCTCTGCAGTCTCCCTAGAACAGATAAGAGGTCTAGATCAGGGTTAATGTAAATATTTCCAAGAATAATGCGTATATCAAGAGTTTCGAATTTACAAAAAATCCAGGTATTACAGATACTTAACAGAGAAGAGGGGCTAGTTGAGAAGGTGCCAAGGCCACTACTCGGGCGACCAATGTCCAGGGTATTTGTAGCATTTCTCCAGTGGCAGGGGAGGCCTCGTAGCAAGTAGGATGGGTAGAGAGGCGTTGAGAGCAGCCAGGTGTCGGAGACACAGGAGATACTAGCATCACGTGTAGACAGGCCACTTAGTGTTAGGTTGTCGAAACCGTGGATGTTCCAGAAGACTATTTGAAGTTTGTTGAGGCTCAGCAGTTTTTTGGCACTGGATGGAAGGTGGCAGCAGCTTGTAGAAGTCCAGGGATTGAAGTAGGTTGAGGGTTGCTAGACCCATTGAATACTCGGCTTTGGTGAGCATTGGTAGGAGTTGGGCCCTGAGGTATGATATCTTGGGCTTGGTCATTCCAACGATAAGCCATGTTATCGATCGAGAGTCTGTTGTAGGTGAATTTAACTTGCTTTCCTGAGTTTCTAGCAAGCTTTGCCAGCTCTCTGATTCTCCTAGCTACTAGACTTTCATGCGTAGAGAGATCTCTGTCAATAAATACATTGCGGAAAAGAGGGTTCCTTATCAGATCTTTTTTACTGGACAGAATTTTGTTTTTAGCCTCGAGGGAGTTAAGCTGGACGATGATGATGTTGGGGCTTCTGCCCTGTAGTGGAATGAAGCGAACTTGTGGCCCAGCATCCGTTAGCTCAAAGGCATTTGCGAGAAGATTTTTAACGTCTCGTTCAGCGTGCTCAGCAGAGGTTAAGAGACCACGAATCACAATGTTCAGCTTTTTGCGGTACCTCTCCAATATGTCAATCTTCTTTTGAAGCCCATTGATAATGTAGGAGTACTGATCAGGCAGGGCAGGAGCTGCTCTATTCGCTTCAAGGAGCGAGAATTTCTCATTGACAATAGCTTTGAGGTTGTCATGTTGGGGCTGCAGATTATCGGTATTATTATTCATTTTAATTTCCAGATTTTGACAAGTTTCTATGACCTCTCTTAAGCAAGATGACATCTCTTTTTTAAACTCATTTGTAGAGTTAATAGAGGCTTGAAGAAGCTGCATTAATTTATCAAAATTCAAGGTGGCATCGTTTTCAATACGCGTCAGCCTAGCATCAATGCTGTCAGTCTGACAGACTTGTTGTTGTTGAATCGCTATGGGCGCAGGAAACATCTTTGTTGCTATCTGTATTTGCGTGAGATTGGGTTCCTGTGATGAATTATTGGTGAGAGAGGCGTAAAGATCAGTACTCGAATTATCAGATACTGAAGGTGATAAGGAAAGGTTCGAGGAGTTTTTATTTCGCCTCAAGGAAAAATCCACCAACTTACACTGCTTGCTATCCAGCGTCCCTCTGGGATATGGAGGTGATTTTCGCTTACGCTTGACAGAAGGAGGTTTTGGGCTTGACGTCGCAGTGGGCGTGTCGGTGGCAAGTGTGGAAATACCAAGGGTAAAACAGGGAAACACTTTAGCTTCAGCGGGACCTCGGTTATCGACAGCAGGTTTCGAGGAATCTGCAGGCAAACTCATCAGAGCAACTAAGCTCTTCCTTTTTTGCAAATTAGGACATAACCTCAAAGAGAGAGGTTAGATTTTTTTAAACACATATGTACTTAAGACACTGTAATGACGTCTCAGGATTAATATCTCAGAATCAGGAACACACTTTCCACTACACGGTGTTTACACTTTTAGATTAAATAAATTACGTATAACGGTAGAAAAATAAATCATCAATAACTGACACCATATGGCAGAACCGTATCGTATCAGCGTCACGAGCGCCCCCTATATATAACCTGTATAATACAAGTGGCGCTGCTTGCTTAGAGACTAAAGTAGAGTCCAAGTCTTGGGTCCACGTGTATTATACATTTTATACGTTTTATACGTACTATACGTAAAATACGTATGAAACGTATAAAACTGCTAAAAAGGCCTTATGACCCAACCCTGCCTCTGAGTATACCAGAAGTGTACGAGATCCCCTGCTCATACGGAAAAGTGTACATTGGTGAAACCGGGAGGAAGATCAGTACACGGATAAAGGAACATCAATGTTATTCTAAATACGGTCACTTACAACAGTCTGCACTTGTTGACCATTGGATGGACACTGGCCATAGGATCGAGTACGCTCAAGCCCGAATGTTGGCCAAGTCTCAAGGATATTTCGAAAGGAAATACCGAGAAGGCTTGGAGATCTACAAAAACCCTAATAACCTCAACAGGGACAGAGGATATCAAGTGAATCCTATTTGGAAAACCGTCCTCCCGGTTTTTTAATTGATCAGCTGATCAATTAAAACATATGATTGGCTGATCCCCCCTCCCTTCCCCTACCCCCACCATCACAGGAAAAGGTATAAAAGGAGTACCCTCAGACATCAGAGCTCAGAATCGGAGCTCATAGCCCTGAAGATGTAGACTGCAATGTTTGCGAAACGTCGGAGCAATGCTGAAATCAAACGCGGCATCCATCCGGAGGCCAATAATGTCATTTTCAAGTTATTGTGAGACAACCGATTTTGTACAAACTAAAAAAATTAAAAAAACTAATCGATGAATTAAATTTTCATTAATAGCGATCGATAGGGTTCAACAATACCTACATTTAGTTTAAAAAAAGATTCAATTCCATCCATTCATTAGCAAACAATTGAAGATAAACTTTACTACCACCTGGAAGAGTGCCCGGCGCGTAACTGGGAGACCAGGGTTTGAATCGTGACTGGGTGTGTGAGGCGAATTTGGAGAGTGAATTTCCGTAGTTCCTGGTAGCTTAGTCGGAAGAGTGCCCGGCGCGTAACTGGGAGATCCGGCTTCGAATCCCAGCTGGACGGTGCGGGATTTTTTCTCTCTAAATTCTAATTCTCTTAGAATTTTTTTTTTTCGAGATTTAAATAGAATTAGAATTTCGAGAGAAAAAATTCCCGATAGCCCTAGCCAGGAATCGAACCCGGGTCGCCCCAGTATCGCGCCGGGAACTCTTCCAACTAAGCTACCCGGGATCATAGAAATTCTCTTCTCCAGATTCAAAAAAAAAAGAAAAATTTCAGTAAAAAATAAATTTTTTTACCGAAAATTGATAACTGAATTATCAGCATAATTATTAATAAATCAGCAGGGAATTGACTTGTCACACCCGGAGAAATCATCTGTCGGAATTAAATAAACTTGATTAATATTCAATAGTTTTTTCAACATAAAAAATGTTTTTTTAAACCAAATAAAGACTTTATTAATTAAAAAGTGAACAATTACTTAGAAAGCCAAGAGAATGAATTTATTAATATGTAAGGGTTATTTATTTAGAGCAGATCAAGAGTTCCATTAGATTCGAATGCATGATTTCTCGGGGTGAAAGCTCCCGTACTTGGCGGGAGCGATATTCTTTGAGGGTTACCCTTGTTCGTCGAAGTAGTTCCATGTTACTCTGGGATCTGGGGTGGGTACAGGTAACAGCTCTGAGGACATGGCCATGGCTGTGCCATCTGGTTCAGCATAACCTGAACTTCCACTTGATAACCCGAGACCTGGTTCTTTCAGTCTTAGTGCTCGATTTTCGTTCTGAAAGCAGATGGAAAACAAAATATTATGAATTATTTGACCCCAATAGTTTATTAATAATTCCAAAAGCATCTTTAACGTCTAGCTGGTAAAAATATGAGTTAATATACAGTCATTGAATTTCGGCTACTGTTTATAAAATTTCACAATCTTGTTGTTGAAATTTATATGCCAATTGGAGATTTCCATAGGCCACAGGTGATACGTTGATCGTTATTAAATGAACTTTACCTGAATCAAATGAAGTGTTTTGAGACAGAATTCCTTTTTCGTCGAATAATTAATTGAATAAAATTTTAAATCGAAAATAATTAACAAAATTTTATAGAATTACGAGGGAATTCACACCTGAGGTAGTCGGGGTCTATCGACTGTCAGGGCTCATGAAATATAATTCTGACGAAGTAAATAAATGATTGACAACAAAAGTCGGGCGCCAGCTAGTTTTGTGGTAAACTAACAAACCAAACAAGGCAATATGTCGACAAAATGGAATGAAATAGAGATGAAGGATTCGGTTGGGAAGACCCAATGGGAGAATACAGAAATTCAGTTTGAAAGAAAATATAATTGCCACAGAAGATTATTTACTTACAGTTTGACGTTAAGTCACAGCTTATACAGTAGAAAATGTATTTTAGTAGACAATATCGACAATATAGAACACAATTAATTGACGTATAAATGATACAAAAGACCACACTGAGAAAAAAATTTATTCCTTCCAAGAAAATGTTATTGGTGATATCTTTTTCATACTCTTAGTAGAAGGAAATATCTCTTTTGGAACGTATTTCTCCAGGCCAGTCATTTCCAGGTGCTCCGAAATCAGTTTCAAGCATGAGAATTATGGTGATCTATAAGAATATTCTTCTGCATATGACCTCGAAGAAACTCCGCTAATAATTATTAACATTTGGAATTATTCCAATTTTCTTTACCTGAGAAAATCGCCAATTTGTAAAATCCGGAAGATATCGGAGAACATTTTGTCTAGGTCATATGTAGCATAATAATCAGATTGTTCAATATCACTGTAATTTTTGAGGATAGACTTGAACTCTCTGAAAATGACTGTCCTGGAAAAATTCGTTCTGAAAAAATATTATCTTCTGACGAGAATATCAATCCTTGGCAGGAATAATTTTTTCTCTCAGTGCAGGGAGATCGAGCTCCCGTGTTAAAGTGTTAGACAGGCTTTTGCCGGAATTAACCACTTGGGGCGCTGTTGGGTGGTGGCGGGGATTTCAATGGGAATAGGAAGTGACAGCATACTTGTTTTTTGAAATATTTACCTGCCATCAACTTTGAGAAAAACATTCAGTAGTAGTCAAAAATAAATAAATAAATAAATAAATTGCATACTCAATGATACAAATCCAAGGAGAAGTATCCATCGGGCGTGCACTAATCACACACGATACGTGAACAATATAATACTAATATTGTCAGTGTTAATCAGGCAAAGAATCCATTACAGATTCAAACAGCAATAGTATTGGCGTTCTTTACTAATTATAATTCATTAATCAATTAAAGGGCCAATCTAAGTTCCTCAGAAACTACAATATCGGTTTCATCTGTTATCAGATATATCCTGGGATCATAGACTCTACGACGTATGTATGCATTGTACGAGGGTACACAGCAAGGGCAAATCGTTTCTTTCAATTTCCAACAACGGATGCAGAACGATTAAGAATTCGATTATCTGTGGCATTACCTCACGAGAGTCATGCCTCACGAAGGTCAAATGTCAGCAGAGTCACACCTCACGGGGTCAAACATCATAATGATCATACCTCACAAGGGTCGTGCTTTGCAAGGGTCACAAGAGGATGGTCAAGTTTTACGAGGGTCACTAGATAATGGTCAAATTTCATGATGACAAAACGCTTCAAGGCTCACAAAGGGAACGTCAAATATTGAAGGGGGTCAAACGTCACGAGAGTCAGAAGAGAGTAATGAAATTTCACAATGTTTGAATGCCACAAGGGTCAGTTCACCGAGGGTCCAACGGTGCAAGGGGATGAGCAAATTTCTCAAGGGTCACACGGGTCAGAAGGGAACACGATGCTTAGACGATCCTTAAAAGTCACATAGAACAATCTCAGGCTCTTAATTGTGAGAGGGATAATTGTGCTAATTATCAAGCTTATTGAATTTCCACGGAATCATTTGGGGCCCTGAAAAATTGAAAAATTTACTATCCCCTATGACCCTCATGACGTTTGCCTTTTGTAAAATTTGATAATCCCATTATAACCCTCATATCGACTCTCATGAAACTTGATCGTCCCCTTGTTACCCTCGTGACGTTTGACTCTAATGGAATTTGCCATCCTCTTATGACTCTCGTGTTGACTCTCGAATTGACTCTGGTGACGTTTGACCCTTGTGAGATTTTACTCTGGTGACGTTTGACTCTCGTGAAGTTTGACCCTGGTGACGTTTGACCCTCGTCAGATTTGACTCTAGAGACGTTTGACTCTCGTGAACTTGTTACCCTGGTGAAGTTTGACCCTCGTAAGTTGTGACTTCAATGACGCCTATGAGCTATGATTCTGATGACGTTTAACCATCGCGAGGTATGATGTTGGTGACGTTTAACCTTCGTGAGGTCATCATAATGGTCATCATTATAAGGTTTGACCCTCGTGAGGCATGACCCTGGCGGCGTTTGATCCTCATGAGGTATGACCCTGGTGACGTATATTACGTGATGCATGGTTGGCATCCCCAGTCAAATCCGCGACTATAGGGTTTAAAAAATGAATGTGTATTACATTAATATGGAAAACATACTTTGTGCGAAATATCTGTTTTCCAAATGATGAATAAATTAATTTGAAATCATGATTCATTTGTAATTTTATTGTATAGTGATTTTTGAGGATTAAAGAACCCCTGATAAGGGCTTCCCTGGAGGCCGAAACGTGGGGTCATCGACAAGAATTCTGAGTTTTATTTTAATTTGTAAAATTACTAAATTAAGTGATCAAAAAGGATGATCTGATATAAGAGGACAAATACTGCTTGATAAACCCTACCTACTAGCGAAAAGTCGTCTCATAATGATCAATCTCATAATCTAATTCCTATTTCACTGACCCCCGTCGGTTGGACATTTGAAGCTCATGCTGCCGATCGTTTTCCAACCCCCTCCACCATTAATTCTACTGATGACAGCGGGCCAAGTGGGCGGGTCTTGCGAAACATCGTCCAACTTTCCCCATCTGAGCTTGAATCCCCTGCAAAAGACTCAGTGATCGCAGGATAAACGACTCGATACAATTTCAAGGCTAGGAACCAAGTGTCGTGTGCTCGTCGTGACTTGTTGCTTCGGGCCCGTTGTCCCCTCTACAACCGCCCCAAAAATCAATAATTCCGCGAGACATCAGCGCCTCTGTGTCGACTGAAAGATCGTGGGATACTATCATACCCTAGGTGGTATGATAGTTGGATTAAATTAATACAAAACAAAAATGTCCGGAGAAATGATTGACACGATAAATTTATGGGAAAAAGCCTATGGCATAAAAAACCCAGATTTATTGATATACACAACGAGAGATATTAGATGACTGCGAATGACGGTGACACACGACGATTCACACATACACATATACATACAACACAATGTATTTGTTCGTTATTTGATAGTTTACGACAACGGTTAGCACGTGTCCACACATATAAACATTTTAACCTACACTAAAACTTTAATAACGCAGGCTAATTTGAGGGTTGATTGGCGCAATCGTTAATTGCGTCCTTGGAAGCATGGCTTGGGTGCCACGTGGAGGCACGAAATCGTGTGATTTCGTGCCGTTGGTTAATCGTTCGTTCGATCGTTAATTTAAGCCACTTGCTATTAAATTTCGTTTCACTAGTGCACTAGTTGTTATTAAATGGTTTCAAGTTGTTGAACCCGTTGGGTTCGTTTGTTTAAAGTCGTGATGACTCGATACAATTTAAGATTTTGTTAGAGCTCGATACAGATTTCAGTATTAGTTTCTATTAACTGACGCCATGGCGTCCGTCAGCGTGCGTCCACCGCGTCGAGCGAGAAAGTGCTGCCACCATTTACCGCCTACCCATAACCGTCAGCGCGGGCACATACCAGCGACAACGGCGCCCGTAAGGTGCCGCTGCCGCTTGTCACCAGTATGTGAACGCGGCATCAGACCTTCGCAGGTGTTACGATGTAACATCGACTGTAGGCGCTCGATTTGATTTGAATTTGACATTTTCTGACGTTTTAATATCCTATTTCGACTTTTCATTTATTTTATATTGAGCGTGATGACCGGGTAATAGATTTGGGGTCACAGTTTCTAGATACTAATAGAGGATTTATTTTGAATGAATAGATTATTCATTTTATGTTCTCAATACATTTTCCAGTGAAGTTTTGAAGTTTATGAATTCCCAATAAGAATACTGTTGAATTGAAGAGAATAACTCCATATTAAATGTTTCACTTCAAAACCAAATTAGTATATTACGTTACAAGTGTGAAAAAGGGGGAATGTTAATACGAGTGGGGTAATGTTTTTAGGGAGAGTCGTAGGACACGCGCATCCGAGCGATAGATCAGACGAGACAAGCCGAGGGGGCACGAGTCGAGCCGAAGGCTATCGCTGTCGAGTCTATCGCTCGACTGCGCATGCCCTACGACTCCCCCTAAAAATATTAACACACAAGTTTAACGTTCCCCCTTTTTCACACGTGTAACGTTTACTATTTTTTGAAATAAGTATTTGGAAAAGTCATCCTATTGTGGGATTGAAGTTTTGACTAACATGGAGGTTGACGAGGGAATACTTCATGAAATCCTCATGTCGTTGCGTTGTTTTAATCGTTAATTCACTTTTTTTCGCAAACACTTTTGATTTACGGATGAGAGGCGACCAACTAACGCGTAATGGCTGCCGTATGGCTGATATTTTCAGCGACGCACATAGTTACAGGAATAACGACACTGGATTGGTCGAAAA